AGGTCAAAGGGCACCATCTACAGTGCCCTCCCACTGCCATACAACTGCCACATCTGTCAAATAAAATTTTGAGATCAATAGTGCTCCATGCAAACAGACATGCAAAAGGTCTGATATTTGGGTGATGATTTTCTAAGTCGTTCATCTTGTAATGGACACACATAGCATATCAAAATGATCCCCAATCTCTGCTGATGAACCTGATAACAGTCACATGATGTCAGCTGACACTCGCGTGACACTCACGTGACACTCACGTGATGAAATATGTAGAAATAGTGGCATGGTTTTCAGAGCATTTTGACACTTAACGTGATGCAACCCCGCAGCACTTTATTATGCGTGAAATCCAAATCAAATGGGGAAGGCTTGGGTTCCAAGGCTAGCGATTGTCTCACGATTGAAAGTTGGAGCAGTTGACGACACGGGTGTCCCGAGGAGCCGTCACAAACTCCACCCCATTCTCTGACTCAAGTCCGATCCGGAATGACAGAATGGAAGACTGAGAACCGGCAACTGGGATAGAATAGGTGTACATATTATATACCAAATAATCATAACGATTTTCATTTGCAGCAAACTATAAAGGTAGACATACTAATCTGGACACCAGTGGGACAGAAGAAAGTGCCCATATTAGTGAGGTGTACTTATTTCAAAGGTCGTCACATGGAAGTAACTGTTGTTGGGGAAGAAATGGTGTCTTCATTAAAAGAGGTGTCCTCATTTCACAGGGAGTTCTTCACTAGCTCATAATAGTAAATATAGCGGCTGAAATATGTAGTAGCCAGAATCTCTAACTTACTCGTCTCGAGAAGAATATCTCTAACGTCACTGGGAAGGAGACAATTCACGTCGTTTGCCCCAACGTGACTTCCATTGGCCCTCAGTTGCAGTATTACATCATCATTCAGACTGTGAGTTGAGTCGGTCAGCTGTGTCGGTCTGTAGAGGCACTGGATCTGCGTCAACAGTGCCGGGAGATTGACTGTGGTGAGTGTTATCACCTCCACACTCTCTGCCTGCAGGGAATAATTGCACAATTGGATGGTTACGCAGTACCCCTCTAATCCTAACACTCATTATTAGTTTTATTAATGCAGAAAAGAATGAACTGGGGATGTAAGAAACAACTCTTGGGGAAAGAAAAGGTGTCCTTATTAAAGATGTTTCCTCATTTTCGGGAGTGTCTTTATAGAAAGCAATTCAACCCCTGAAATAAGGACACCTCACTAATATCTACACTTTCTTCTGCCCCATTGGTGCCTGAATTGCATGATATGGAGGGAGAAATCTGTGTCATATGAGACGGTATTCAAGAGCTACCTGCCAGGCCCCGAGTCTTTAATGGTACAAGAGTGATGTTTGCAAGGTCACGTACCTCTAGATCTTCAGTATGAATGATGGCGGGTTCTGTGCTGGTAATCTCGACGCACCCTTCAGAATCAACCCAGAATGGCCCACAACCTCCTCTCCTTGTACATCTGTAGACACAAGGTATACACAGACAGACAGTCAACCACAACACCTTTACAACTGGAAAATTGTAAGGGAGGTAATTCTGTAATTGTGTAAGCTAAAACTCTTTTAGCCCAGGGGCATTCATTAATACTGTTGCAAATTTGCAAAGAAAACAATTGCGAAAGATTCCCAGCCGACAAGGTACAGAGTGTAGTACTTCAAGATGGTTTTTTGCTGTACTCTCCAGCTATAGTCAAGACATTCAGGATGGTTGGTTGGCCTGTCCTTCTTGCTTGCTATATAGCTAAAAGTACGAACAATTTAGGCCACCCTATTAATTCACTGCATTCTCCAGCTATAGTCAAGGCATTCAGGATGGTTGGTTGGCCTGTCTTTCTTCTTGCTTGCTAACTAAAGGTACGAACAATTTAGGCCACCCTATTAATTCACTGCACTCTCCAGCTATAGTCAAGGCATTCAGGATGGTTGGTTAGCCTGTCTTTCTTCTTGCTTGCTAGCTAAAAGTACGAACAATTTAGGCCACCCTATTAATTGACTGCACTCTCCAGCTAAGGTGTTCAGGATGGTTGGTTGGCCTGTCATTCTTCTTGCTTGCTAGCTAAAAGTACGAACAATTTAGGCCACCCTATTAATTCACTGCACTCTCCAGCTATAGTCCTGTCCTTCCCTCCATGCTAGCTATAAGTACAAATACTCTGAGCCAGCCCCCTGGTTACCCAATTCACCACTACATGATTACGTTACCAGTATGGCCACTTACTTGCGTTCCAGAGTGCACCAGCCACAGAAGAGGTCACCAGCTCTAGAACATTCCTCGCATGTTTTGTAACTCTCACATACGTCCATATAATATCTGTATACCTGATGTGGAGACCGAACATGATGTAGAGGCAGGGATATATAGAACATAAAGACAGTACGATTGGCTCTGTTTTAGAATTTTCGTGGCATTATGACATAGCGAGTTGTCAGTGGCAAAAGCATGGTAGACAACGTGAGCTTGTCCAAGAAGCCACGATTAGTACAATCACATGATGTCGTGATGGCTCAGTAAGGGCAAAACATCTCCAAATAATGACAACTGTTATGGCCTGACATAATGAGCTATGTACATTAGCAACAAGGCAAGGCTTCTGGTGTCTTTGAGAACAGTGTTTTTGACCACACGTAATTAACAGTCACCAGGGTGAAGGTGTGAACAGTCATCAGGGTCAACGTGTGAACAGTCACATTGCTGAGAAACAACAAGCATTCCCATTATGAGGACTGGGCACATTAGGGTTCTGCGTGAGATTCAATGGAACTTCCAAAAAAGGACTCCTAATAAAGGACACCTCCTCTAAAGGACTATTGGTTCTGCCCCATACTAATATATACATAGGGACACCTCTCTGAAGGACTATTGATTCTGCCCCATACTAAAACATAGGGACACCTCTCTAAGGGAGTATTGATTCTGCCCCATAGCTACTAATATCACATACCTCTGAATGAAGGAACCCTTTAATAAAGTGCACTTTCTCAATGACCCCAAAGTGTCTCTTTTTCAGACGTTTCACTGTACACATTTGACAGGGTATTAACTGGGACATACCGCGAGCTCTGTGCTGAAGAAAACGTGTAGACCGTCACTGGAGGTGAAGAGATCAAGTATGCCCTCATCACTAGTCTCATCGGCTGGAAATGTTCTCACAGCAACGGCATCTTGTTCCACAATTGCAAACTGCTCACAATTTGGAGAAAGAATATTGTAGCCCAGTAAACGTAGCTTCCAGCATACTAACTTGTAATAATTATCGTGCTCATAATTATATAGAGTCATGCAAACTTTATGCTAGAAATAATTTGTTAGAGCAGCGATTTGCTCGAAGATGCATGCCAATGCAACTTGACATTATGTTGCATCACATGCAGGGCTATACGATGTTTAACCCTTTACCTGGTGAATTTCTCCATCTCCGTTCCCGACGAAAAGAAATGTGTATCCGTCGACCGTCGTGAGCGCCAGTTGACTAAAGAAGCTGTCTGCTTCTCTCTCCAGCCCAGAGACCAGTAGGAAATGATGGGTGCAGTAACTCGTTCCCACCTCTAATGGCGATATGCTGCACAGTCCATCACCCTGAATGTTATAAATCATTCTCTGCTCGTTATAATGCAGAAGTAATCTGTGAAATTGTTGCAATTAAACCGCTTGTGAACTTAACATGATGCAATATTTGCATGAAAGTAGTATTGTATATGTATTCTAGTTTTAATTTTAGCTCACACTATAAGCTAATGTGTAAGACAAATATGCAAAACCCCTAAGACTTTTACCCATAATTATGAGTGAAGTATGGACTGCATTGCAATTTGCACCTATCTTTACTGCATACCTGAACTTGAACACACGGCTCCGTAATCCCGTCTCGCTCCAAGCCTTTCACCCCCACACCCTCGGCACACTCGTCGATCTTCGTCTTCATCGTCTGATCCACGAAAGGCATACGAAAGGCGCACAGACGGTTCCGGACCTCGCTGAGTCGCTCTACGCCCACGGACAGTACGAGCGCGTCGTAACCGAACGTGTTGGGGTACGGAACGTAAGCCGCGGACGTTGGTTGTCCGCTACTATTGCCGCAGAAGAGCCCCAATTCGATGTAAGAAGAGAAGTTTCCTCCGGACAGATCCTCGCTCGTCCGGAAACCAGTGTCCGAATCGCAAATGCGAGCAATTCTGGCTTGAACGGAGACGCCGTCCGGACTTGCGATAAAGACGAAGTAAGAGAATCCGCTGCGGGAGAAAGCGAGAATAAATCGCCTCTCGGTGGACGGATTTTGCTCCGTTTGCATGGCCGTAACCAGGAATATGTCCGGCATATCAACGGGGTCGCCTTTCGGGCCTCTGACGATGGATCCGCGGACGATTCTCGACGCAACGGCGCCGCCAGCGCCCAGGTCGAAAAAACTGTCCATAGCGTATGTCAGTTCATGGAAACTCGGAGCGCTACTGGTTCGCAGAATACCGTCAAAGCCAACGTCATCTTGTCCGTCCGTAGCCGGATCTAGAATGGCGCTCAAGTCTCCTTGGGCGGCTGGCCAGAGGTGCCGGAGGTTACGAGCGTCCACCAACTTGCAATCCCCTCCGCATACGAGCAGAACGTCGCTGGCGTTAGACAGCAGCAGTAGACGGATGTGCGGCGTAAAGAGGTTGCGCTGAAGCTCTGTCAGGTTGGTAGAGAGACGGTAGAGATAGTGTTGCGTGGCCGCGAAAACGTGTTCGTCGCTCGCCGTCAGTGTGCGAAACTCTTCGCCCGGGTCCGGTACGGGGAAGGAATCCAGGTGTACCGCAAACGAAGGTGAGAACGACGAGATGCAGAGAACAAAACACAGCAGGAGAACTGGCATCGTTGTCAGAACAGTGCCCTCAACTTGTACAATATGATCTAGATTTACAACTGTGTGATTTTTGTATGTTCCGCGCGCGCGCGCGCGACATCGGAGATCACGTGAGCTTAACTGCGCATGCGCACACACGTCGGAGTCTGGAAAATGGAAATCACAGGTATACGTTTTGTGGTGGTGATCTAAATCATTGGCTAATCACAGTCTTGGATTAAAATTTCTTCTTTGACTTGTCCCTGTCTTGACTACACTTGGGGCAGTACCTAAACAACATGGCAATGAGCTCAGTCAGCAGAAACCGAACGTGAATTCTTCTTACCATTTTCCTTTGGGCTTAGAAGTGAGACCGACACATTGAAAGTGAAACCATTCAATTGGGCACTGAGAATAAAAGACTTGTGTAAAGCGTACAATAGTACGATATTGTCAAGCATTGCCCATCTTTGCAAATGCAAGATGTTGTTATTGTGATGGTCGCACAATACAGAGACGGCAGGAAGAATAGTTGCAAACTCACTTACTTCAGGATTATCACATCCTATCATTTCACCAAATGACACCTACAAAACAATAGTAAACAATAATGTCTCACTCATATATTTAGCAGGCCATCAGATTATATATAATATAACATGCGTAGTGTAATTTTTAGGGCTCCTATATATTAAACTTTGGAATAACCTGAAGAGAGTGGAAAGACTACAGTTTTAAACCTATGAATAAGGAACTCTTTGGAGAGACAGATTCAGAAGGGAACTCTTATTCGGAATGCATGGGGCAGAACCAAGTGTCCTATATAGAGAGGTGTCCCTATGTATTAGTATGGGGCAGAACCAAGTGTCCTTTATAGAGAGGTGTCCCTATGTATTAGTATGGGGCAGAACCAAGTGTCCTATATAGAGAGGCGCCTATTTTGGAGAAATGGAAGCGTCCTATCTCAGAGGCTTCAAGCACACCTGATGACAGAGGCAGTATGTTGGTTCATTAGGGTCGACTGGCATGTCCAGTACATCGGTGGGTCCTCCAGCTCCTGATGGGACAGAATGAACTGGGCTGTTTACTGATGTACTGAGAGTGATAGGGAGGGAGGGAAGTAGAGAGGGAGGGAGGGAGGGAGGGAAGGAAGAGAGCAAGGAAAGGAAGGGATTAACATTTGTGAGCAATACACGTGTGATCAGTCAGAAGAGAGAGTAGAAATCTAGACAGTTCAGAAAACTCAATAGCTATAAAACATAATGCACCCTGTCACTCTCACCTTGGCTCTTCCGAAGTCGATGCCAACTTTTTCTTTCTCGATCCTCCAGCAGTTTCAATTATGGTACTTCGTTTCCTGCCCTCTGTTGTACACATTCATCGACAGAATATCGGAATTTTAGAAACCCATTTTTAAATTTGCACTATGTATAATATAGTAGCATGAGTTTCAACAAATAGCAACTGTACATTTTCAACTTTTCCACATTTTCCTATAATTAGAACAGCAGGTCAACCCCCCATCACCAATTTCGAAATTTCCTAGAACAGCTTCTGGTGGTGCAGTGGTAGAGGTGTATGTATAATTAATACCACTGATTTCAAATTTTCCAAATATTTCCTATAATTAGAACAGTGGGTTACTCACTGTTATGAAGAGAGGGTGGGGCCATTTCAGCGATGGAGGATATGGAGGTTCGCCTCATTCCTGGCTCCTTCATCTTTAGCTCCTGCTCGAACCGGGACAAGTCGCTATCCAACCTCCGAATATGCTTATCCACCTTTAGAACACGTGGGTTTGTGGAACGTGAAAAATATTGAAAACCCTTTGGATGCCATGGGTGTCTGCTTAAATAAGCAGAAATTGATGTATAAAGTATTAGCGCCTAGTATTATAACCCCCATATAAATTTTTATGTACTTATGAAGGCTCTGGACACATTTATGTGTCTGTGGCTGGTTAAGTGTTAAACCCCTCTAATCTGGTGGGTGATTTGGATCGTGAATTTGTACAGCGCTATTTCATGACATTGAGCACATATCATTAGTAAAAATTGTTAAGTAATAATGTACAGCTCTCTACCACAAGTGACCACAGGCTTATCAAGGGCTTATTACATCACTTCATTTCCTCCTTGTCAGGAAGTGACAATTCTTTGTTAGTGGAACCAAAGGAGGGAGTACACCCACCCACACACTACCCACACACTGCCTACACACTACAGGTAGATAAGTTGGCAAACTCACGCAAACACTTTGTGAGCTTTTACCAAGTTTACAAACAGTCCATTAGCTCTTCCATTGAACATTTGGTGGTTTTTAATTTACGCTTTGCCCAATTTCAAATTTGATCACCAAATTAACACCCAGGCATGTCTTAGGATGCCTTCATTGAGAGAGAACTAGAAACTGACTCACCATCTCATACATCTGCATGGCAATCTGGACCTTGTCATCACTATACTCCCTGGCCTTCTGGAAGGTCTCCTGAATTTTTGTAAGTCTTTCTTTTCTCTCCTCCTTTGATAGGTCTTTCACCTATATATAACAGAATCACTCATACAGAGCAAGACAGAGCACTCTGTGTTCTAGAGAGGGCTCTACCAACTGAGGCAGCTCAGCTATATATAACAGAATCACTCATACAGAGCAAGGCAGAGCACTCTGTGTTCTAGAGAGGGCTCTACCAACTGAGGCAGCTCAGCTGGCTGGGCCGAATCACTCATACAGAGGAAGACAGAGCACTCTGTGTTCTAGAGAGGGCTCTACCAACTGAGGCAGCTCAGCTGGCTGGGCCGAATCACTCATACAGAGCAAGGCAGAGCACTCTGTGTTCTAGAGAGGGCTCTACCAACTGAGGCAGCTCAGCTGGCTGGGCTGAATCACTCATACAGAGCAAGGCAGAGCACTCTGTGTTCTAGAGAGGGCTCTACCAACTGAGGCAGCTCAGCTGGCTGGGCTGAATCACTCATACATAGCAAGACAGAGCACTCTGTGTTCTAGAGAGGGCTCTACCAACTGAGGCAGCTCAGCTGGCTGGGCCGAATTACTCATACAGAGCAAGGCAGAGCACTCTGTGTTCTAGAGAGGGCTCTACCAACTGAGGCAGCTCAGCTGGCTGGGCTGAATCACTCATACAGAGCAAGGCAGAGCACTCTGTGTTCTAGAGAGGGTTCTGCCAACTGAGGAAGCTCAGCTGGCTGGGCTGAATCACTCATACAGAGCAAACCAGAGCACTAGTGAATCAGCACAAAAGGTTTCAGTATTAGTTCGTTTCCTAATGCCTAATGTAGCTATATACCTTAGCCTTGTAGTCTGCAGAGTTTACGTCAATTTCCTTCAATAGGTCTGCAAGAATACACAGTTTACTGTACCAAGTCAATTTCACCAACATTCTCTCTTTCTTTCCCCTCCCACCACCCCTCTCTACACCCTATTATGTACAGAAAGTGGGTTGCTACAATCAATACAGACACACTTCACACCAATTCCGTACAAATTGCCTCAAGGCCACCCTACAAGCAGTTTCTAGGCGTTTATACGGGCTGATACGTGAAACTCGCGCTACACATGCCAACAGCACAACATGGACTTCGAAAAACAACTTTGGACGCCTACAAAACAGCGTGAAAAACGTAGCCGACACCACACGCACTGCATGCGTCGCGCTGGACTACTGTTTCCCCGTATAAAAGGCACCACAGCCGCACGGTAGTGTACATTGTACGTCCTGACTCGTACCCTGAGCTCGCTGGTCCAGGGAACGCATGAGAGTGAAGTTCCTCTGCAGCTCGGTAGGGAGATTCTCAATATCTGGAGCGAACAGAAACAACACCAGTAAAAATGGCGACGGTAAAACGACAAACGAAAGGAGCGACCCAGGCTTACTTTCTAGAAAGTTCTCCAAGTATAGGGCAGACGCCATCGTCCTCTTTTGGTAGACAAACCGCAGATATGCGACGACACAGCTGAACGGTGCGGATTTTCAAAGAGGAGCTCGCTAAAGGGGTTAATTGATTTGTCCACGCCCACTGGAACTTGCGCATGCGTAGTGGACCTTCACCGCGAAAATTCAAACGAGCGAGCGAAGAAAGAGAGGGGGTGAAGATAGGCTTCGGAGGCGATTTGAAGGAGAACAAAGCTCTAGTTGGCTCAATCCCGATCACAAAGACATTAGAAGTCCTTTTTCCTCGACGTTAGGGCCAGGGTTGTCGCTGGAGAAGCTAAAAAGCCAAGAAGCTGGAGATGGACTCGCCTTCCGTTCCTTCTCTGGACGTCAGAGACATCGACGTTCGTCTCACGCCACGAGCCGTCAAGAGCTGCCCTCGACTCGTCCCCCCTGCCCCCTCCCACTCTGTACTAGAGCAAATGAGCCTTTGGTGAGATAGTATAGCTGTTGATTTGCCTGTACAGTGAAACCTCCAAATAAGGAATGACCCATGAAAATTGGCCACTATACAAATGTTTCCTTTATTCAGAGGAAATAATATTCTAAAGTATTAGCACTGGATTAAAACAAGTGTCTTTTATAGGGAGGTGTCCTTTATTCAGAGCCTCCATTTGTATAATAATTATTAGCAGTTCCACTGTTTATACATACGTAAATATACACACAAAATGGAGAGAACTCAGATTATGGTTTATAACCTGCCTCTCTCTCTCTCTAGCAATTTCCCCGGCGGTGTCCCAGAGAGTGAGGAGGGTGGGGAGAGGGAGGGAGTCATGAGGACAAGAAAGAGAAGTCGCGAAGACCTGGACACTCAGAGCGTCGACCTCCATTTTACCGTCAGTCCCTCCCCTCCCTCTCTCCCCACCTCTCTCCCTCATTTACCCCCACTTTCTAATCTAATTCCCAAAATTTCTGTTGTTATGACTTCTTGTTAAAACATCAATGGCTAATTATACTAATGTTAACCACAGAAAAACCCCAAGAGGGTCAGAAAATATTATTCATCTTTATGTGTTAGCTTTTCTGATCACATTCAAAACCTGTCCCCGTTCCAAACCAACACTCTCCTGTCCTTATTCCAAACCCAAACCACTGCTCCCTCACTCTCCCTCGTCCCAGGAGCCTCACACCAAGAAACCACGGCGACCGTTGTCCAGAGCACCCTCCATTCAGTCTCTGGCCAACATCGTCAAAGACACACCTTTTCAGTCCGCCAAACGCCGCATCAAGGTTTTTAATTCCTCCTTTTCATGTAAACAACAACGAGAAACAATTCCCTTGTTCATTTTCTCTTTCTTCTTTTGTGTTGGAATCCGTCACTTCTTTTTCACGTTCTCTTTTGCACACTTTTTAGCGTTCCTTCAGTTTTTCTCGAGACTCGCCCCTCTCCCCTACTCCTAAATATCGCCCACCTTCCATCGCCAGGACGACGACCCTCCCTAAATATTGCCCGCCCTCCACACTGACGAAAACTCTACGGCGACGCAAGTCCAACAAACGCCAACTACCAGCAAACTGGGTGGATTGTGTACGTAAAGAGGACATGGACGGGAAATACAGTAGAGAAGAGGTTAAACGACAGGAGGTGAGGTCGTACAAACACTGTTACTATTTTAGGGTGTTGTTGCTAATAATAATTTCAGGCACTCTACTCTATATTCAAGACGGAAGCAGAGCTAGTGGAAGACCTGCGAATGATCATCAATGTAAGTTAGGAGCTAATGTTGAAGTTTGATGCTAGGATCACTAAGTACGGTAGTACTTAGTATATAGGGATTGGCATGGTACCTAGCATCATAGATGTATGGGGCTATGATAGGGAGTTTTGTTCATCTTTTTTCCTTTGTATTGCAAAAGAATTTTCTCTGTTTTGATTCATTGTTGTGCCTCTATAGCATTGTATTTTTACGATGCTCTCTCTCTCTCTCTCTCTCTCAGATTTTCTACCATCCACTGCTGAGGCTGAACCTCATTTCTGAAGAAGATCACTGCAAAATCTTTGGAAATATACAAATCATCCTCACACTTCATGAAGGCTAGTACATGTACATATGTACATACATACATACATACATACATGCATAAAGGACTCTGGGCTAATATTCAATACCTCGAATTGCCAAGAGCCTGTCTATGAAGGCCATCTCTCTTTAGAAGGACACTTGGTGATCGAACCTCTATATTGTACAAAGGACACATCTGACTATAGGACAATCCTTCATTCATGTGTTCCTTTTTTTCTTCTCTTTTTTTTTCTTTTTCTTCTTTTTTTTTTGTAGACCTGATGACAAAGTTGGAGGAGTTGAGGTCTACTGGTTGCCACGGCGAGTGCATCGATAGCATTGGAGACACCCTACTTCAATGGGTACATAATGTAATACACCTTAGTATACTAATTGGGGCAAGATAGAGATAGGAGCGGTGCTAATAGTGATAGGGACAGCAAAATAGAGGCAAGATAATATGTAGGAATATGGACAGTGATAGAGGTGTGAGATACTAGGAATAGAAAGATAGGACGGGGATGTATATACATAGCGAAATACAGAGGCGAGATATATACAGGCCCTCTCCTCTCTCTCCTATATACACATCTCATCTGTCTATTCCCCAGTCTTCCACCCTCTCTCCTATATACACATCTCATCTGTCTATTCCCCAGTCCTCCACCCTCTCTCCGTATGCCGACTACTGTGCTAATCTGGTGACAGCCAAACAGACTCTGGAGGCAAAGAGACAGGATCCCCCACTGGAAGACTTCCTACAGGTAACATACATACATGTCTTACTGCACACAGGTACGTATGTAGGTGCAAGTATTAGTGGTTCTTCTCATCCCACAGAGGTGCCTGGATTCTGAGTTTTCAAGAAAGATCGACCTTTGGACCTTCCTAGGTGAATTAATAGATAATGGCCCTCTCTAAGGACACCCCTGAAATGAGGACACCTCTCTAATAAGGACACCCTTTTCTTTCCCCAAGAACAGTTCTTGCGTGCAATTCAACCCCTGAAATAAGGACACCTCACTAATATTGACACTTTCTTCTGTCCCATTGGTGTCTGGATTAGAGCATGCACTGTGTATCTATGTATGTAGTATGTATCATATGTATGTATGTATGTAATGTAGTATGTAATGTAGTATGTATCTATGTATGTAGTATGTATCATATGTATGTATGTATGTATGTATGTATGTAATGTAGTATGTATCTATGTATGTAGTATGTATGTATGTATCTATGTATGTAGTATGTATGTATGTATCTGTATTTCCTTTCTCTAAAAGATGGCCCACGATCGAGGATCATGAAGTACCCAATACTACTTAAAGAAGTAAGAAAAAAGGTAAACTATAATCACTCTACACATTTCAAATGAAATATATTCGCTTTCTTTCTTTATATTATATAGACACCTTCTGCCCACAAGGACTATAGCATATTGGATGAAGCCGTAAGTTACATTATATAGAACTTTCTAGTGGAGTTCTTATGGTACGTAATGTTCATGTTAAATGTGCAGACGGTCAGATTTGAGGAGGTTTTGAAGGAAATCGATCGAAGAACTGGCGTCGCAAAATGTCTCGACGTCGTCTCCAGGCTGGAGTACATTCATGACGACCAGGTGGCTCTCTAATCCAGACACCAATGGGACAGAAGAAAGTGTCCTTATTAGAGAGGTGTCCTCATTTCAGGGGTGTCCTTAGAGAGAGGTTCCACTGTATATACGTACATTCTCATTCTCTTATCATCGTCTCCTCTCCCTCCCTCCCTCCTCTTGCTCCAACCCACAGAGATGTCAGGCAATCGATGATTCGACTCAAATTCTCTGCAGTGGCGTTCTTAGGAACAAGAGTGGATCGGTATATACGTCCTTCAACCTTATTACTGCTTGTACTAATTGACACAATATGATGGATAGACTTTTGTTCACACTGTTCTCTAGATTTCATGTAAGCATGATGTTCTGGTGGTTTTCACACTACAATGTAGCTTTGCACGATGTATTACATAATCCCCTCTCTCTCTCTCTCTCTTCTCTACTCACTCTCTCTCTCTGTCTGTCTCTCTCTCTCTCTCTCTCTCTCTCTTTCTCGTCCTCAGAAACTGCATGTGTTCCTATTGGACGAAGCTCTGGTGTTGACTCGACCTTCAACCAGATCTTCAGCTCTCGCCTACCAAGTCTACAGACAGGTTTATAATTAATAATTATTACCCTCGGCGCGCATGCGCAGCGAGGGTACTGTAGTTGGGTGTTTGTCTGTCTGTCTGTCTGCAGCCATGGGGTCGATCCCTGGAGGATGCTTCATGGTTATCAGCTTCACCTGCTTCAGAGAAGAGCTAGTGGACTGGGTCTTACGCTGTGAAAATGATCCGTTGCAGAGCTAGAGCGCTTTGTATGGCTAATGCCGGTAGTCGCCATTTTATCGCTGGCAGATAATGCGCATGCGCTTATATTTAGCACAGGCACCTCGACCGGGTCCGCTTGCTGTGTCTATCTTGAAGGCACAAGAAGTCACAACGAATGGACTCTCGCGTGCTATCTACTACTGTAGCTAGCCCGTGTCAGACTTTCTTCGAGCTACTTCGCCGAGGGTTTGCACTTTAGTGCTTTTCATTTACACTGTTCCCATTCAAGTAATGGTGGTGGTCTGGTGGATAAGCACCCCCTCTCTTGATCGTGAGATCCCTGGTTCGATCCCAGGGGGTGTGCGCCTTTTTTACAATGATGTAATAGGAGCATTGGCTGTTGGTATAAGTGGAACGTTTTTTCATCACTTCTCAAGGCCAGCCCGAGTGGCTAGGTGGTTAGAGTCGTGGGGACTGACACCATAGGTGCCCAGTTCGAATCCTCTATCCCCGCACTAAAATGTCAGATGGTTCAGAGCATTGGCTGGGAACAGCTCTGGTTCCTCCCCTTACCCACAAATCTACCACTGACCCACCTTTCTCAAAGGGCAGCGTACAGTTCGGACATTGCACTACGTCCGTAGACGTCTGTCTGGAGAGATGAAGGGCTGGGCGTTTTTTTTTTTGCACTAAACAATCCACAGGTAATACGAAAATTAATAGAGAGATGAAAGGTTGGCAATTTTTCAACCTTATATATTTTTTGGGCCTCAAACAGAAATGGGGCTGGGCATTTTTTCAACCTATCCATGGAAATAGTACATAACATGCTGTTCTTTTTGATGCATGGTCAAGACCATCAATTGTGGTGGTGCCACACTTGTGTATGGGTTCCACAGTGTGCCGAGGGTCTGCACTTTAGTGCTTTTCATTGGCTTTACAGGAGTCAGTGCCCATGTAAATTTTTTGGTCTATCCTCCTACAAATCTTTGCTCTCACACATAAGCACTACTTTTTTTCTACGAAATCTTTCTGAAGAAGTTGGCCAGCACTCTAATCTAGTCTTCTCCTCTGTGCAGCCGATACCAGTGGCCAGTCTGGAGGTGGAAGACGTGGCTGATGGAGACACCAAGATCAGCAGTGGCTCCTTCAGAGGAACCCTCAGGGCCAGTGGTGGCTCAGGTATATATAATATAGGTGTATGTTCATAATGTGGAACCTCGTTAATATGAACTCCAGCGGACCATCAAAAATTGTTCATATTAACAGGAATTTCACTATAACAGTAGCTAGTTAGTTGTGCTATTCTTATAATGTGTGGGGATTTCAAAATGGTTCATATTAGCCAGGTATTTCAGAATGTCAAAGAGGAAAACCCTTTCAAAATTGCTACTCTCTCTCTCTCTCTCCCTCCTCCTCTCTCCCTTTCTCGCAGGATCCAAGAACCTCATCAAAGTCAGCTGCAGGGACCCAACTGTCTCCCGGCACTCTCACACTCTGCAAGCCAACGGAGATTTCGACAAGAAAGCCTGGCTAGACGCCTTCCAGCAAATCCTCCCCAACATAATCCGCCACAATAAAGTCACAACAGTTTAGTCATTATTTCTGACACATAAAAAATTTTAATACCCTTGCATCATCATACAGTACATGCATCTAAGATCACTGCAAAGTGTATTATGCAGATTTTTTTGCTAAATGGTTTTTGCAGAGGATGTCACAAAATTTCATGCGCTAGTAACTGTTCGTGAAATGTCAAAATTACTTATTATCACACACAAGCCAGTACTGCTTGTTTTCATGTTGTTTGTGACCGCAACTAAAATTCACTTCTGACGAGATCGTCACCTTTGACCCGCAGATGTTGGTGGTGCGGTCAGGAGAAACTCTCTGCCTACCACACATCAGTCCAAGACTCCTAGAGAGAGAGAAAAAAAACATGTCACAAAAAAACCCTTTTCTAATTTTAGTAGTACATTGGGTGACGCCTTTTCAATCATAGCTACAGGGGTACGAGACATAAGGCTAGGGGCTGCAGGTAGTCGGATTGGTTACGAGTGATCATAGCTGATAGGGGCGGCCACGTCCCTCGGAAAGGATTGGTGGCCAGGCATGAAATCATTGGTGATAATGAGCTCATAATGATAGGCGGTACTGATAGTCTTACAAGCGATAGACGGGAATCTCGGCTCGAGATGAGTGACGCAGCGAGAGGCAACAAACGAGCCACGACGCAGCCTCTCCGCACGTCAGTATTGTGCGGTGGAGCTGCGACAGGCCAGTCCTGCACTCAAACACTAGAGCCAGAGATTTACGTCTCGAGGGAATGCAGCTTCTACTTCGTAAACACCTCATAGAGCAAATGAACAACGTGATTTTGTTTTTCGCAAGTGAATGAACGAGAATTAATTTTTCGCGCATGTCAGCAAAGAGAGAATGTTACTAAGATCAATAGGTCTTTTTCAACAACACTTTTCTACCTTCTGTGCCGGAAATATTCTCACACGAAAAAAGAATGGCACACTATGTACGTACCCTCCTGATGGCCTCTTTGTCTTGAGGTCTTGGAGTCTGGTGAATGAGTTCTGTGAACGGGACATATCGTGTGGTGCCAAGGAGTGCCGCTATGGAGGGACTTGTTCGGTTCCGGAGCTGTTCCGTCGAATCGACCTTTGGACGACTGTCTATCACTTTAGAAGGAGGAGAGGAAAGTGCAAATTTATGGGATCGTAGCAATTGGTATAATTATTTGAAGTAGTAAAATTTGTGGGACAATTTTCGTGGTGCATAAATTTTTGCAGAATGGTCAAATATAGTGCTAAAATAATGGAATGAGGTTAATAATATAACTCAAAATTGATGGGATGTAAGAACCTGTCTTTCTTGGTGTGGTAGTGTCCATGATTTGCCCCATTTCTCGGACGAGGTGGGGTCGGTTAAGTTGCCTTGAAGACGGCGGGCGTTATTGGGGTTGCTCGCTGCTACAGTAGGTCTTCCTCGGCCACACACTTGGGCAGACCTCCGTCTAACACCGACAATTTTATCATGACCAAACACCTGAAGAAGAAAAACTATTTGAGGGCACTGTCACGATTACCGTAATAATTGTACGTTTATTATGTATAAATAGATGTTGTGGGCGTGGCAATAATACCTTGAACATCCACCAATCCTTCCAACGGAGTAGAACCCAAATTTGGCGTTGTGTCGTAGACCACTACGTGAGTATCGTTGCTTCATCTCAAGCTGAAGAGACGAGAGAGAGCCCACAAGTAGCTGAGAAGCGATAGAGATAGAGCCCAGTCAAAGTAGCGGGGAGCCTGAAAGAGAGAGTACGAGAGAAGGTCAAAGTAGCCGAGAGAGAGAGAGAGGTCAAAAGTAGCCGAATAACGAGAGTAGAGAGAGGGTCAAAAGTCGCGAAAGGGATCTAACATTCCATTTCCGCGACTGAGGTCCACACTGCATGACGAATAAGCTATCGTCTCTCTTAAACAACACTGAAAGTGTAAGTGAGAGCTAGAAAGATAGCTATGTCGTATGTGTCATGAAATAGTAAACCCTCCAATAAAGTTAAACCCTCCGATTACTAAAGAATACACATCTCAAATTAATGCACACCTGCCTACGATGCTACCTCCCAGATCACATTTCTACGTGCTAAACATTCCGTGGTTTCATAGTTTATTACTCTTAAGCCCATATGGAGTTATCTTCTTAAATCACCATAATTTTACTGAATAAATCATTAGAGCCTAGTATCATAAACCCCATAAAATCTTATGGAGAGCCCTGGACACATTTATGAGCTCTGCGGCTGGTCTAAGTGTGAATATGAAGGTCAGGCAGCAAAAGAAATCAACGCCAGAAGAAAAAATTTTTGTATTTACTTCTAATCATTACCTCTCGACTTTTTCTCGACAAATGTTTTGAGCCGGGTGGGCAACATGAGCGGCAATTGGTGGGAGGTTTTGGTGGTCTCTGATTTGACTATGAAATTATCCAAACCTCAAGGCTCCAGTCTGAGGTGATCACTCTTGATACTCTGCATTCTGCAGTCTCTCTGCCACAGGGCTTGGTGGAAAGTCCCTGTTTTAAAGAGAAACAGTTGGAAGGAAAAGAGGAAGAACTGAGAGCAGTGATGAGAGTGTGGAGAAGAAAGAGAGTTGAGGAATGAGAGGGCGACAAAGCTATGCAGTAAAGGTCAATGGTCCCAAGCCTTGAATATTATTATCCCAATATGCAGCGTATTAGGCACTAAACCGTCAACAAGACGATATTTGATCTCGTTGATCCGATCCAGTTTTCTTTGTAGCCACGCACACACGGGGGACACCAGCGGTCCCGGGATCACCATTTTATAAGTCTCGTCACATACCGTCGTTTCGACTGGTTTTGGTGTTTCTATGTTCGCGCAATGCGCGGATTTCATACGCATGCGATTACCGTGATCGACGTTGGTATCCGCAATGTTCGATTGAACTTTTGACCCGCGTCATCGCCACGATCACGGCCACCGCAACGTGTAGCTCCCAATACGCGTAAGCATGCGTGCAACAGCAACATTGATAAAGGGCAAAAAACAATAACACGGATTTTCAGTTTACAATAAAATTAATGACAGAAGGAGAATTTTAGATAAGCCACAGTCAAAAGGGATTGTTAAAAAGTATTCTCAGCACTATTCAACCGGTTTGTCTCGACCACAAAAGATAAATATCATACAAAATAGCACACAGTAATGTACAAATATTTAACAATGATTTTTCAGGCGAAGATTTATAGTAACGTCACAATGATAATTCTAAATAATTGTAATGATGTGAAGGGTCTTTTGTGCTATTAGTGATGTGTATTACAGAAACGTTTCAAGGACATTACATGTATCGTGCATGACCAAGCCAAAACACACTGAAACATAACCACCGAATACGAAAAAGCGAGTGCAAAGGATGTTCCCATGGCAACGTGCTAAACAAGTGTTTCCATGGTAATAGAGTAAGGCGAGTCCTTCCTCCTCGGGGGACTGGGGTGCAAGGATCCGGGCGAGGTTGGTTTGGAGAGTGGAGTCGTAATGAGGGTTCGGAGTTGCCATGTTTGATCTTGGCAGTTGCGGCTGGGTGATTCAAGATCAACAAGAATCTGAGCGCCAGAGGCAATTAAAAATTGGGTTGCAATATTCAAAAATTCCACTTATGGACTGGTGTGCGTAGTACGAGAATTCAGTGTGCAACATTTATCTCTTTGTGTATCATATATGATGAACAGTTGGTCGAAATACTAATCATGCATTCCTTAACAGGTTTTAAAAAATAGTGAGCTTTGAAGAGTCAGCAGAAGAAGAGACGAGTGTATCCAGTTGCAAGTGGACTACAACTTGTGGTTGGTAAAATGAAAATTAAGGTGCTGGCACCAGGTTTAACTTGACAAGACTACAAAGGGGTTAAATGTGGCCTGGACACAAAGGGGGCAATCAAGCACAAAAGGATTAACGGAAAAAGAGGGACTGTGGTGCTCTAAGGGTTAACATGAGGGAAAAAGTGGGCGTTCCTCTGTCTTGAACTGTGGCAGCAGCGAATGCACAGATGTTTGATGGTCTTGTGGAGGTCCTCGAGCAGCTGTGGGGTCTGGCGGAGGAAATCCACACCCACCATGAATTAGAATTAGAGGAAAGGATGGGGGTAATGTTGGTAACGAGAGGAAGGCATTGAGAGAATCGTGTTGGTGTCGTAGAGAGGGCTATAAAATTCTGATTAGGCACCTCATGCGGGCGGGCCTGATCACTCATACGATTTGCAAGGCAGAGCACTCTCGTGTTCTAGAGGCAGAGATCTAAAACTGAGGCAGCTCAGCTGGTGGGCTGAATCACTCATACAGAGGCAAGGCCCAAGAGCAACTCGGTGTTCTAGAGAGGGGCTCTACCCAAGGAGGCAGCCTCAGCTTGCCCGAGGGCTGAAGCACTCATACAGAGCACTCGTTGTTCTAGAGAGGGTCTCTACCAAACTGAAGGCCAGCTCAGCTGGCTGTGCCAGAAGCAGAAACCACTACACAGAGTAAGGCAGAGCCATCTGTGTTCTGAGAGGGCTTACAACTGGGCAGCTCAGCTGGCTGGGCGGAATCACTCATACGCGCAGGCAGAGCACTCGGGTTATTAAGAGGGCGCTACCAACCTGGGGCAGCTCAGCTGGCTGGGCTTGATTGATAGTCACTCATAAGAGGCCAAGAGAGCACTCTGTGTTTTCTGAGAGGGCTCTACCAACGAGGCAGCTTAGCTGGCGGGTGAATCACTCATACAGGCACTATGGTCTAGAGAGGCAAAACTGAAACGGAAACAACCAGTATCTTTCCACCATTAGTGCTGTAGGCA